CAAAACAAATTAACACCGTTTGTTTTAATAAACACTGTATTTTTATCTTCATAAGGGTCTTATGGAATAAATGTTAACATGGACTTTTCTCCTGAGAAATTTCAACTCCTCCTAGAGGGCTGGCTATTAGCTTACTGTCATGTTAGGTAAATAGATATAGTAATAAACCAGGGACCGTTTATTCAAAAGGCGGTTAGCATATTTCTCAGAAGAGAAGCATCAAAGCAAACTTTCCAACCAGCTTTGTTCATGAACTTGAAAATGTTTTTTCCAGAAATCTTGTCAGGATCATTTGAAGTTAATTTTCTAAAATTTTAAAATATATGGTCGTGCCGAAACAACGTGGCAATCACAGGAAAAAAAATAAATTTCCATTAATGGGTTTTTGAATGGCTTTTAGACATTTACTATGTATTCTAGGAATGCAAAACTCTTACCATTATTGGTTATTACACTGAGATTTCCCATATGCATGGTAAATTGGTAAAAACCATGATGTTTAATAGGTAAATATTAAACATCATGGTTTAAACTAATTTACCATCGATATGGGAAATCTATAATAACCAATAATGGTAAGAGTACAGCTTTTACACTCATAAACCATTAATGGAAAGTTCGATATTTTTGAAACCAAAATGGCTCTCCTTTTGTCGCTTGCCAACATTTATATAAACAAACATGGTTTCCCGGATCACATTTCAGGAATCACAAAAATGTATTTCAATATTTGTTTGCAATGTTATGCTTTGCATTATTGTTTTATTTTTGTTTGCTTCATCTTTAGAGGCGGAGGGGAACTGGGTCGAAAATGGTATCACATGGGAAGACAGACAAACAAGAATAAAACTTTTGAAGTATTTAGAACTTTGCTTAAGTGCTTATGTAACCACATGGGGAAGTTAGATACATGTTGGAAGTGATGGGGAAAACCAACTCAATAAACAAGAAAAACAGACTTTGGCCGGAAAACGAGAGAATCACATATCCAATTGTGCTTTTTTTCCGTTGTTAAGAGCGTTCTTGGCTCTATCATTTGGAAAATTTTGCAGCGAATAGGCCTGCATATCAGGAACTGTTTCGTAGGATTTTGTTTCTATCTATCAGTTTCCTAGCCTGAGCACACACTTATTAATCATACTATACAGTTTGTAAACAGGTTAACAATTTTCTCGCTAACAAAATTCGACTAGTTTCTCGTCTATAATATTCTGCTGAGAAGGCGAAAACCAAGTGGAAATTCTCTATTTTTTTTTGACTGACGAAATCCATTATCCAATGGCTTTATAAAACATAATTTATAAGATGTTGATCCATTTTCAGGATTTTGAAGCTTGTATAACAGGCATTCATGAACAAGGATATTCTTCACCTCATTTAACTGCAGTTATTGGAACCAGTGCTGGTGGACTGCCTGTAGCAGTTCTCTGTAATCATGCACCACATCTCGTAAAAGCAGCGGTATTGAAGGTATGTAATATGTTGTAATGATAGAAAATTGACAGATACGTTGTTGTGTTGTGTTGAGTTGTGTTGTGTTGTGTTGTGTTGTGTTGTGTTGTGTTGTGTTGTCATGCCATTACCAGTGTTTTAACTCGTTCTTTAGTAAACACGATTTCTATATTATCTTGTCTTTTATTATTCTAAGAAACGGTCGTAAAGCTTGCTGATAGAGGAATATAAGAGTAACTGTTGTGTTAAATGCTGTGACCTTCTTATTCGTGTCGCATTTTCCCATGTAATGTAATGTAGTGTTGTGTTTTACTGTTATTTAACAATTATTCGCCGAAGGCGAGGTGATTATCGGTGAATAAAAACTGAGACGAAGTCGAGGTTTTTATTCACGATAATCACCGAGCCTGAGGTGAATAATTGTTTTGGTATAATTTCATAGGTGATTATTTGGGAAAAAAATAAGAAAATACACATTTCTTCGTCATTAAATTGACAAAAAGGCTTCGGCCGCCATTTTGAAAATCGCTTAGATGATTATCGCGTAATAATCACCTCAAAGGCAACCAATCGGCGTGGAGAATTTTCAATAATCACCTATGTAATCATACTAAGATTATTTAGTCAACATATTCTGCGTTCCTAGGTTCCTTTTGTAGATTTGATGACTGCAATGTTAGAGGAAGGATTACCACTCACTGCCCAAGAATACGAAGAATTCGGAAATCCTCGGTAAATTGTGGCTGTTATAAAATAAAAAATCCTTTGCCGATTTGTCATATATCTTGCGTATTTCTTGAAATATTTTGACTGAGGGAAATGAGCTGTCCGCCATTTTGGAAACCTTCAGGTCTCGTTAAATAATTTATGAATTGATTGGCTTATAAATTTTACATTGTGTGCCCTCGATTACTGAATATAATAGAATCATGACAAATTTGTTTTATTTTAGACTTGACGTGCATGATTTTAATAAGATGAAATCATTTTGCCCTTATACGAACATTTCAAAGCAGGTTTGTGATTTTATAAAAGTATGGAATGTAGTCAAGGTTAAATATCACATTAATTGCTGCCGAAGGCAGCACACTATTCTTAACATGAAGTATTGCGATTACTTGTGTCCAGTCTCTTTGGCCGAGTTATGTATAGCCGAACGAGAACTCGATTTTGCATGTACGGATTATCAGTTATGACGTATTTTGACGTCACAGAAATTTTAGAAAATAACATACTCCAGATCGCGATTTGACTTTCCGAATACCCTGGTTGAGACTCGCGAACACCACCATGAACGATTACAATTTGTAAACATGTGCCTCGTTGCCTGTTGTAAATTTATGTCTGGCTGTTTATCGAAATATTTTTCTTGCGTCTGGCTGTTTTAATATCGAAAATATTTTTCAAGGTAAGATGAAAGTTTGATCACAAATAACAATTAATGTGTTTTGGTCGAATTATTTTACCCATTGAAACGAATGAATTTATAACTGTACGTATTTTTATTAAATTTTAATTTAGGTGCCATACAAGTATACAACTCTTCATATAAACAAGTGGAGTAAAAAATCTGTTTGAGTTTGATAGAACATCGTACTTCAAGGTATAAATAATCACAGTGATAGTTTATTATAATATTGTTATTATGGGAATATCAATTGAGCAGTATCGTACAGTATCGCATTGACTGGAACACATAATTCTATACGAATGAAAAAGTATCTAACTTGTACTGTTGTACAAAGATATTCCTATAGCAACCCAGTGTGGATTGTTGTCTGCACATATTTACCAAATACCAGCAGTTTATGTAATATCATGTCAACTGACCTTTGATGGTCTGTACAAATATATCTCTAAGATGTATGTCCATTTATAATTATACAAAATGATATAAAACTCATTATTTCATTCATTTTATAAAAGGTCACTAGACTGGTTTAGTCTTCACTATTTCTGGTGACCTGTGCCATAATATTTATATTTAAAAAAAAATCATATGATGTTATTTTACTTGGTGGTGCGAAATAAAATTGTTGTTGTTGTTGTTGTTGTTGCTACTTGTTAGCATAATGCACCAGTCAGTGGAATGCCCCTACCCCCCTACCCGGGGAATGGCAGGGAATTATTGAGCGATTGAACCTTATATTCGGCCACGGTACACAGGGATTTAGACTTTATTAGTTATGTGTATCAGGTACCAGGGACTTTGGCGGGGCTTATATCGGGGATTAGACATAGCCGCCATCTTGAAAACGAGAAAGGACTTGGAATGAGCAATGAAAGTGAACTGATAATTTTGCGAACGAACTGTCAATCTCTTGTGTTATTGGGTCACCGTTTTATTTTCTTGAAAGTTATTGTAAACCGTTTAGATGTTACATTTTTTTAAGCATTCAGTATAGACCATAGATATGACTTAAATTTTAAGTAAAAAGGGAAAGGCCCAGTTTTTAGGGGCCCTGAACAATGAGCAAAACCAAATCGAACTGAAAAGAATCCAGTTTAATAGATGCATGTGCGAAATTAAGTATGAATAAGGTAGTATTTATCAAATAGGTCTATTTCCTTTAGATTTATATTCTTTTTAGATATTGTATGTTGGGCACGGAAAGCGGGGACATTATTTGCGTTTAGGCAAGTGAGAGTGGCCCGTATAGCGGGGGGTTAGACTGAATTAGAGCAAGGCCTTGGTCTAATGCCCCGCTGTTCCCCGGGTAGGGGGGTGCGGGATATTCCACTGACTGGTGCATAATATATTCACCTGGCTGTCACTACAGTTCAGAGTATACTATATTTTTTATAATGCTCACAATTTCTTGTATTATATAGTTTTGCAGTTCTGACTGAGTACAATCTTAATCATTACAAATGAATGATGTCATCAGAAGCTGAAGTATGAAACAAAACTGTCAACAAACAGATTTTGTCTCCTCATCAGGCATCAGCAGATGGTTCAGTTGTTTGCAATTTAGGGGTCAGGGTCATAGCAACAATACAGTAATTTGTGAACTAGTAATAATCACTCCAGATTAACCAGCCGCCCAATACATGCAACATTGCTTCCTATGGTAGTGCGGGTAGCTTTGAGGGTAACCTGAGATCAGGCTCTATTTCTCAAATTTACCCTGACACAAACCTTAATCCAATAGTTTTCCATCCATGTGCAGCAAAGTTTATATTTATTATCCAATCAAAATGTCGCAGGAAAAATTTAAATTTCACACAAGGACAACAACAATCTAATTATAGTTGTGATCACTATAAACAACAATTTATTTTATAATCTAATATAATTAGCACCAACCAATCAAATGACAGATTAAAAAATCTTTTTGTCTCATAAACCAATCAGATTTACACCAGAAATATGATTGTAAGACATGATCTTTTGTTAAGGTTTGTATCAGGCCTATTTATTTATTTATAGGCCTGATCACAGATTACTTTTAAAGGATTAATGTCACACCGGGAATTCGCGGGCTCAAACTCCTGCTGGCGGCCATTTTTCGGGACGAATAGATTGATGATCTGGGAAGTTTTTTACAATTTGTCATATATTTAAACCACCCTTTTATAATACTTGCTCTTTTTGTGTGATATTTTTATCGCTATTTGTTGTATTTAAGTAATATGTAAACAATAACAATAGCCCGCAATACATGACCCTGACACTAATCCTTTAAGGTGCCATTAAAACGATAATTGGGTCAAAACCTGACTTAATATTTCTGTATATGAAATTGTTATTAAATTCTACATGTCCAATGATTCATTCAACTATTATTATTGTTTATATATAAAATGATGTTGTACAGTATTCAGTGGCAAGCTAGCTACAATGGCAACTGGTCATGGCGCAGCTATAAACCTGAATCTATTTGAATAATGCAAATCATTAAAAACTTGCATACTGTGGCATGACCTGTTGGTATGGCTAGCTCACTGATCTAATAGATCAGTGGGCTAGCTTCACCACTGACAGTATTATAATTATAAATACAAAATATTCAAATAGTTGAATAATGCAAATCATGAAAAACTTGCATACTGTAGCATGACCTGTTGGTATGGCTAGCTCACTGATCAAATAGATCATAGATCAGTAGGCTAACTACACCACTGACAGTATTATAATTATAAATACAAAAGCAAGAACTTATAATGTAAAACTGTCCATGCCAAGAAAGTAGAATTAGAATATTTAGCTGACCTTTGACCTTGTGGAAGGTGTTTGGTATTCAAATTGCACTTTTCCTACTTCCTGGGCTGTTTACATGATGGAATTAAGGTGGGATGATTTTTGATGTATTGAAATAAGTCACCAGGGTAGACAAAAGTTTAAATGCTTGTTAACAGAACTTAAATATTGTAGAGAAGATCATGTGTACATCAAAAAATGAGAACAGATTTACCATTTAGCTCGAACACGCCGACACGCGGCGATTATTAGGATATAAATCGATAAAAATCGAAAGCATTTTGTCGATGAAAATCGATGAATATCGACAATAATCGATAAAATTGGCTATAATTTTTTGTGACTATCGATTGGTCATCGGTTGATCAATGTGAATTGATATCAATTAAGTAATTAACATCGATTACCACCGATTGGATTTCCGATGATCGGTTTTTATCGATTAAGTATGCCGGGTATAAATCTATCTCTAGAAAATAATGAAGTTTTTTGCTGAATTGTGCACCGTTAGCTTATTTCAACACATCGAAATCATCGTGCCTTTCCCGCCTCATATCTCGTCCTGACAAAGCGAGATCATAAAAACAGCCCCTTATTCAGAAAATTGCGCATGCTGCCTTTGTCCCTTTGGCATGAGGCAGCACTTTCCTTGCGATAGTAACTTCTAGTTACTGTATTAGGCTAGGCTTGCAACATTTTTGTTCCTGGTTACTGATTAGCATTACAAGGAGTATATAACCAATCAGAATTGATGAACTAGGCTTTTAAATCGAAAGCTTTGCCAAATCAGTAAACTTTGTCAGTCAAAAATAAAATAACTTCACCAACACAAAACAAGCACGTCGATTGCGGTGTAAAGCCAGCCCGGCGCACAATACAATAAATGTGCGAACTGGCATATATAATTTCTTATCCAATTTGCATCGTGATTGAGCCAAAATGCAATCGATTTGTGCTTGGCCAACGACCGATCGTTAGACTATTGGTGGTTTGCCATCGGTCCCTTCAGAATTAAAAGACAAACATATGGTGGCAATGCATGTTGAAAGAAAACACACTCTAAATGCAATAGCTGCTAATGATCTTCTTTTGTCAGCGTTCCTCCAACATGAACGACCGCCATGACTTCTAGTGCAAACCAAGAATTAAATGTTTAGAGAGCTACTAGGCTGGAGAGAACAGACAGAGAAATTACTCAATTATCCATTGTATGAAATTAATACGGTTTATGGATCGAGCTTAAGACAAGAATTCATGGTTGAGAAGACTTCTATAGTATCCAATTTGAAATAACGATTGTCCCAGCTTGAAATTTGTCCGTTGTATATAAGATGTGATAATCTGTGATTTGTCGTTGTGAACAGAAAGAGGACGACATCGAATATTTTTATGAGATTTTAATTAATAATTTCTTTTCTACACTATTATGATTGTCATTATACTAATGGCCGTCATTGTTTCACTTGCGTCCTTTTTGCTTAAAGTTCCTAACATCGATAGATTATGGATAGTTTTAGAAGTGTAAAATTTAAGACTGTTTCTTTTCACCTCCAGATACTAAATTAAACCTTGCTTAATTAAGTTCGATAATGTTCTTGGGTGAAAACAATACTTCGGCTATAGATACGATGGCCACCTATATTATGTAATTCAACTTCAATCTATCCCATTGTTAACTTAATAATCATTTACAAGTAAAGAGTCTAATTTGTCATTTGATCTTTAGCATTATCCCAGCATGCTTTTCATGTCATCAGTGAATGACGTCAGAGTCCCATATTGGATGTCGTTGAAGTATGTGTCAAAGCTCCGCCATGTAAACTCCATGAAAGAATATTCAAGTCCAC